TGCGCTCACGGGGCCGCCGTGGTGGGATGATTTCTTCCCTGTGTGAGCCCCTGGGTTTGTTCCCTATTCCCCCGCGGCCTGGACTGGGGTGGCCGCTGCTCCCCTATGTTCGCGGGGTGCACGACTCGCGGCCAGCCTGCTCCTGGGAGGCGAAGTGGTGCTGTGGGGGTGCGGGGGCGGCCCGGGCGACGGCAGCGGGGAGAGGGGTCTGCCCCTGGGAGCCTGTCGATTTGCTCCCATCTCCCCCGCGTCCTGTCCTGGGGACGGCCTTTGCTGCCCCACGTCCGCAGGTCACAGGTTACGGGTCAGTCTGCTCCTGGGAGGCGGGCATGGTGCAGTCAGTGTGCCGGGGCGGTGACAGGGACAGCGGGAAATGCGATCAAATCCCCGCGCTCTCAAGGGGCAGCCCCAGTTCACCGTCGCCACTGCAGCCCCCACTGACCACACCCTGCCAGCCTCCCGGGAGGAGGCTGACGGGGGGAAGTGCGGTCCATGAAGCTGGAGCAGAAGAGGCCTCCCCCAGGCCAGGCCATGGGGGTGATGGGAGCAACTTGATTGTCTTTAGCAGGGCCGCCCCTAGCCCCCACCGCTGCCGCTGCCTGCTGTCCATCCCTAGAATCGCCGTACCCTCCCCCTCGCAGGTCCGTGTGCACAGGGCCTCCGCCTTTGGTGTCCGGTTCACCATCCGGGCCATTACCCACCCAAGGGCCCGTGGTGAGCAGTGTGCAGCTCAGGACCACCCTGACCCCATTGCTCAGATGAGGCCCTGGGTAGGCAAGGCGTCGTGATGGCAATTTGAAGTGCCTCTATTACCCACCCCACCCTCCCCTGCACTGCTCCGAGGAGCCTTAGACACAGGACACAGGGCTGTGTGCCCGCGCACTGCACAAGATCTCCATCTGGCGGCTGTCGCCATGGTGACCAGGCCCAGACCATCCTGCCCCTGGCAGGGTGAGGGGGTCAGCCCCGGGTAGGGGTGCACTGGCAGTGAGGGGGGAATCCTACAGTGACGGGGGACAGGCTGCGGGGTGAGAGGCCGCTGGGAATGGAAGTGACCCAGCTGAGGAGTGAGGTGGCCATCCCTGGGTGAGGGGCGCTCGGAGTTGGGGGGATCTGGCTGAGGGGTAGGGGGTAATCCCGAGAATAGGGGATCATCTCTGGATGGTG